TGTATGAGAAAACTCCAGACTCTTGTCTCCTAGGTTTTGTCGGCCAATAAGTTTTAGGTTCGAATAATCAATTATGTCAATACTTCTATAAAATCCTCGTAGCAACCGATTTTGACTTATTTGGCCAACAATTTAGAGTCAAACATGAATTTATAATAACAATAGTAACGGAAAGGTTTGAAATGCTGCCACAGGAACTACGTCAACAAGTCGATGTTACATTCGCGGTCCAACTTCAAAAGACTTCAACAATTTAGATATAGCAAAGTATATATACATACATATATATATATATATATATATATATATATATATATATATATATATATATATATATATATATAATGAATACTGGATATTCATGGATATATATATATATATATATATATATATATATATATATATATAATGAATACTGGATATTCGTGACTGTCAATTTAAACAAACAACAAAGTTTATTGGGGCTGCAGTCAGAAGTTTGGCTGGGATGTTACAGAAACACTCTTTTGACTTTTGGTCTAGCTTTCGGAATTGTTTAATTCCTTTATCAAGACACTGTAATTAGAAAAATGTGTAAATATTTACAATATATCACAAAATGTCAGTGTACTTACTAGTCGTTGAGATTATGTGTAAGAAGCTATGATACTCAACATTAATAACGTTAATTATGTTATTAATGTTGAGTGTCATAGCTTCTTACACATAATCTCAACGACTAGTAAGTACACTGACATTTTGTGATATATTGTAAATATTTACACATTTTTCTAATTACAGTGTCTTGATAAAGGAATTAAACAATTCCGAAAGCTAGACCAAAAGTCAAAAGAGTGTTTCTGTAACATCCCGGCCAAACTTCTGACTGCAGCCCCAATAAACTTTGTTGTTTGTTTATATATATATATATATATATATATATATATATATATATATATATATTTAGATATATTTAGATATAGTTGATGATGGGACAATTCAATTGGTACTGTCTGTATTGCATGCCAAGATACCACTATTTGAAGTATTCTACATTTAGTGTACAAATTGCCAGTAAAAAAATAAAGAGCAAGAAAAACAGAAGCTAAAAAACAATTGGAAAAAGAAAGGAAATAAGATATCCCGGAAAGGTTCCATAAAGAAACTGGATTGCTTATGAGCATGCCAAAGGCGAATTTCGGTTATACAAATGACAACAACAGAAGTGGAAGATTTTTTGAAGATCCCAAAATTGCTTCAGAAATGACGGGTATTAGTAACGAATTAATATACAGGTTAAAAGTCATTTTGAAGACTATTTTTAGCGGCCACAAAATTGATCATGAACAATATGACAGTTGCGCAAAAAACTGCTGGTTTATATTTTGATCTCTACCCATGGCATCCCATGACTCCTACATTGCACAAAATACTCGTACATGGTGCAATAATTATCAAAAATATATTATTGCTAATTGAGCAGCTCACCGAAGAAGCCGCGGACGCGCGTAATAAGCATTTCTGGTCTTATCGGCAAGATTTTGAACGGAAATTTCCAAGAGAAAACAGCAACAGGGATATTTTCAATCGCTTACTTTTGAGTTCTGACTCTCTGATGAGATGTAGGAGGCAAAAAAGAAAGAGTAAAAAAAGTGGTTAGTCTTTGTAAATGGGTATATTTATTTAAAAAACCCTTAAAAGGGCTACATCAATAAAACAAACGTTTTCGGACCACACAGTCCATCATCAGGTTTTAAAATCGAAAATGCTAGGTCACAATGCCTGAGCCACCAAAATACTAGGGTAAAAACCCTTTAAATTACATTTAGTTATAAAAGATTGTACATTGTGTTGTAAAATAACTGTGATGTTCAGTATTAAATTAAATTTGACTAGAGGTAACACATGGCTGAATCGAGTTACCAGAGCCGGTGAGAGAGAACCTCTACACGCGGAGAACAGCTGGGAACTGAGTTCCCAGTGTTCTCCGCGTGTAAAGGTTCTCTCTCACTCTCTCACCGGCTCTGGTAACTCGATTCAGCCATGTGTTATCTCTAGTCAAATATAATTTAATACTGAACATCACAGTTATTTTACAACACAATGTACAATCTTTTATAACTAAATGTAATTTAAAGGGTTTTTACCCTAGTATTTTGGTGGCTCAGGCATTGTGACCTAGCATTTTTCGATTTTAAAACCTGATAATGGACTGTGTGGTCCGAAAACGTTTGTTTTATTGATGAAGTCCTTTTAAGGGTTTTTTTAAATAAATATACCCATTTACAAAGACTAACCTCTTTTTGTGATACGTGGTATACAGCCAGCTACAGGAATTTTTTCCTTGTGGATTTTAGTAAAAAAAGTAGTTTTCTATCCGAAACCTTGCGAATGCTGTTACCTGTCGATCCGAACCCAGCTAGGTACTCTTCTGGAAGCGAAGAGGAACATTTGCCTTTTGATAATACTGTTCGATTATACTGTTATTAATAGCAATCAAACACATAGTAGAGTAGCAAGTTTTGTCGAACAGGAATATTTTTAAAATTTTGATTTTACTAATAATAGTAATAAGAGTCATAAAAATATTAAAATAAAGTATTTATTGTTAATATTTTTTTATTAAGACTACTTGTTGAGCTTAGTACCATTTTTTAAAATAAAATAAAATACAAAAATAATTTATTTTGGATGCCTATATCGTTCGTCGGCCTTAAAACGAATATGACAAAAACAAAAACAGTGCCCAATAGAGACGATCCCAGACGTATAACTATAAATGACAGTGAGATAGAACAAGTCCAGAAATATGTATCTACCTTGGCCAAATTCTGAAACTGGACAAAAAAAAACCAAAGTGCGGAAATCACTAAAAGAGCAAGACTGGCATGAGCAGGAATTGGAAAACTCAGATGGATATTGAAAAACCGCAAAATACCTCAATACTTAAGAAGCAAAGTTAAACCAATGCATCCTTCTTATCATGACATGTGGATGTCAAACTTGGACCCTAATTAAGGCAAAATAAATAAACTAGTCACAACAGAAAGGGTAATGGAAAGTGCAATGTTAAGTTAGGGTTAGGTCGTATCTGCCAGATAAAAAGAGGAACGACTGGGTAAGATCAAAAACAAAAGTTAAGGGTATCACAATAAAAATTGCCAATTTATTGTGATATCGACATGGATGTGGTTGGAACGCGACAATACAACATTGGAGACCTTACAACGGTAGAAGAACAAGAGAAAAATTACAGACGAAATGAGTGGACGGCATCAAAAGAATAGCCCGAACAAATGGAAAGCATGTTGCTCAGGATAGAGAACGATGAAAGGAGCCGGAGAGACCTATGTCCAAAAATAAACAAAAGAAGATTAAGAAGAAGAAGAAGAACTATCGAGTAGTATTACTGCTAGAAACAAAATGGAAATCTTTACAAAAGTAATAGTCGACGAACTAAGGAAAATATTGCCTATAGGCAAATAATAACGGTTTCGGAAGAACAGATGGACAACAAATGCAATCTTTATGATTCTCTAGATAGTCAAGAAAGTCATATAATATAACAGCTCCGTGTTAATATGCTCCGTAGATCTACGAAAAACATTTAATAAAAATAATAATAATAAAGTAAAATAATAAATAATTAAATATGAAAATAGATGTCCTAAAATTATAGGGATTAATTTTGACTGCTTAACTTTTACTGCACCAGTTCGGTTGAATTTTTTACAAACTTACAGTAAAGCTTGTCGACCTGGGCCCTGTAGATATTTCTAGCCTTCTGCCATGGACGTACAAACATAGATGGACTCAGTTATTTACATAAAATTGTGTAGTCAAAATTATTTGAATAGGTCATATTCTCATCACCTTCAACTGTTGTCACGTTTTGTTTTAAAATTTCTTATTCGCGAGTCGCTGAAAATATTACTCCGTATTTTATACTCTACAGGTGCTATCAAACCAAAATAATAATTTATTGGTTAGATTAATATATTTAATTGTAATCAAAATATCAAGTGTGCACATAGTGTGCATTATCATTTACTAATGGCGTATAATAGATATCAATCAATTATTTTATATGTAGAAGCACTGAAAACTATTTATAAATGGCAACGGTTGTTTACATTTCTCTGTCTTATGGATCTACGTCAAACTTCAAATGCTGTTCCATGTTTGTTTACTTTTTACAGTAGATGAGGAAAAAGTTGTTTTTCGATATTTTGGCTGTATTTTGAGTGATATTTGTGAAAAGTGAAATAAAATAAACGAAATATTTACATCCCGATCTCTCATTTCATTTGTAAGTACATACAATTTACATTATTTAAGATGAGGAAATGAGGAAACGTGTTTGTTTACATTTTAATAGGCGTACCATTGGGTTTATTCATGTTCATTAATGTATTGAATAATATATGAGTTCATGAAATTAATAGACATTTTTAAATTGTAAGTAGACATCATCTGGTTAAAAAAGATCTGTTTAGTACCTTTTTAATTTAATATTTCTCATGGATACAAATAAATTAGTGAAATGAATAAAACTCATTTATTTTTCTATGTAGGTTTCCAAATAATATTGACGATCGAACTATTTGGGTAGCAAATTTAGGAGAAAACAAAGATTTTTTATTGTAGCATTATTTTGATACCTATTAAAAAATTAACTTGAATTCAACTATATTTAATTGTATTAATTTTAAAGCAAATAAAATTGTATTTAAATTTTTCTATAAAGACGTAATTTGTTAATAGTTAAACTCTCGTTTTTTTTAATTCTTTGAACGTGTTTTTATACAATATTACTACTTCCAATTTTTTAAATTTGCATCACATTCATCGAAGCTTCAAAACATTGTGTGTTAAAGGTGTCTTATTGCTGTGTCCATCTATGTTTATACGTCCATGCCTTCTGCCTAAAAGTCAGACACTCTACCGCCTGAGCTATGCGGCCCTTACTGGTTTCTACAACTGCCTATTATTATACACCTGCATATTTACATATTTCTTACCTTCAGCTTTTGGATTCACGCAAGTTGCTTCACATGATTGTTTACTTGCAAATCTGTTACCATTTCCACCACATCCGCTGTATTTAAAAGATTTACACTGATGTCTACTAGTGCTATAATAATATTTAACGTCAAAGTGGCCACACTTTCCACTATCTTGGGGTAAAGGGCAATTTTCTAAAAAATAAGACTGTTTATATTAAAAAGTGTATTTATGTATTGTGCTTATTTATATATTAGCAGCAAAAGAAAATAAAATACTCAAACATATTATGTATGAAAAATGGTGAATCAATGTAATGCTTTCTGATAATAAACAGTATTTTTAATTTTTTTTTGCCTGACAGTTCTGTGTAGAAAGCTAACTAATGGGAAATGCGAAATTCATAAATTAAAAACAAGCAAAATGAAATATTATAACGTAGAAATTAGTTAATACAGGTCGTCGAAGAGTTTTACGAGGAATTATATGCAAGTAGACGAGTAGTTCAAACAGGAATACAAACAGCCATTTCAAAAAAGATGGTTCTGAACTAATGTCAGAGATAAAGGTATAGAAGATTCGACAAGCATTAAGACAAAGTCCCAGGAGAGGATGGAATTATAATAGAAGCTATCGTAAATGAATAAGATATGCTATTAAATAAATCAAGGAAAATGTCTAATCTATGTTTGCAGCAAAGACAGGTGTCCAAAGAATGGAACAATGTTATAACAATCTTTTTGTATGAAAAAGGAGACAGAACTCTTCACAAGGTTAGTGACATCATGATTGGAAAAAAAATTTGATTTCTGCCAACCGAGAGAGCAGACAGGATTCTGGTCAACTTATGGTACCAATGAACCTCCATACAGTAAAGACACTCACTGAAAAATCGATAGAATACAACAAACCCCTTGTCTTCACTGCCATAGATTTTCATAAAGTCTTCGACAAGATCGAAATAGACAGCCCTACAGAAGCAATGAATAACAGCAGGATTGACCATAGACATAGTGAACTTATTTACACTATTTACAAAAATGCCATTATGACTGTTAAGATACATGATAAAACCTGACCAATAAAAATTAAACGTGGAATAAGACAAGGAGATACATTGTTACCGAAATTATTCATAACGACATTAGAGGATGCCTTTAAGATGGTCAATTGGAACCACAAAGAACTAACAAAAAACGCGAAAAGCTTAACCATCTCAATACCAATAACCGTTTAATTATTTAAGACCAGGTAGTAGAATTAGTGGAGAAATATACGTATTACGTACAAGATACACTTAGGGCCAACATACCAATTAGCCTCAAAAGAAAAACATTTGACCAATACGTATTACCGGTCATGACCTATGGGATAGAAATTATGACTCTAACCAAGACTACGGCTTCGAAATTGAGAGTGGCACAGAGACGAATGGAACGATCTATGCTAGAAGTTACGCTGCCCAACTGAATAAGAAACGAAGATCTGCGAAGAAGGACGAGTATTGCTGATGTTGTGGACCGCAAAGCAGAACTGAAATGGAACTGGCGAGAATGCATGACTCACGATATATGAGCAAAATTACAAATTGAAGGTAAAGTGTAGATAAACGTAGTAGAAAACACGTTGGGTTGACTACATCAGGCGTATCACAAAAAATTGTCAACAAAGAACACAAAATCATAAAGAATTGAAGAGTTTAAGGGAGGCCCATGTCTAGCAATGGATATGATAAATAAATGCTGAGTGATGATGATGCTGATAAACATGCGATGTATAATTGTATACGTGCGAAACGTCAAGTTTATTCCGCAAACTTCCAACGATTAACTTGCACTTTATTTATTATTGTTGTAAAAGCCAAACGCACGTTAGTCGCTGAAATCAAATGGTGTGTTGGACTCATTGGTATACACGGGATCAATACTTCCTCTTTTTTCTATTTTTCCTTAATGATCGTTGCCTAAATGACGTTACTCATTAGTGTTTTTAAACCAATTATGGTTAGTGAACTGTTGGCTATATCCGAAAGCACCCGATGAATTGAGTCTTTAAAGTTACAGAAATTTGTGGGTAGTGTGACGAAATCGGTCGAGATGGCAATAGGTACTTTACTATTTTCAATGTCTAACAACTGCTTTGAAAACACACTGCACTTTTATCTTGTTACAAAAACACTCGCATGTTATTGTCAATTGGAGTTGTCTTTACTTGCCGCTAAAACTTGGATGATGTTGGGCACGCCTTTAGTTCGTCCGCAGCAGTTGATCGAGGAACAATTGGAATGGTCTGACAAAAATCACTTGTTAACAAAATCATGACTTTACCAAAATTGTTTTACTTGATTTTCCAATCTGATCATCACCAATACCAATAAAATGAAGTTTGTTTTTTCCGCCCCTCACGGAGCATCAACGAACTTTATTTTACCAGATCTTATGTTTACAGCTTCTTTTAAAGTATCATCTTACGTAATCCTTTACTGCTGATACAATTATTGTGAAACATTTTTACAAGCTACTTCGACCAATACTTCGATGTCAAACAGTCGCACTCTTTGTAACTCGTGATTAGAGGTATTAGCCATATAATAATTGGGCGATATCACGCCCAAACATGACAATACTCTATTTACCGACAATAAATAAATGTCTTCTATCGTGATCAATATGTAATTGTAAATTTTTGCAGTCATTTCTACTGTAGCATTCAAAGTTTAACAGTGCACACGATGCAAAACATCTTTGACATATCATCCCTATCTTTTACCCACAAATTATCCGGATTAGAAAGAAACTATTAAGATGTTATAATCGCAAACCATGTGCAAATTTGATGTGGCGATGAAGATATGACGGAATCTTTGAGCGTATTATCCCAATGTAAATTACTCTTGAGCATAAGTGTTTTCAATGGTGAAACAATGTCGGGCCACGAACAATTACCCACATCAATCAAAGGTAATACCATTTGTTGTTATTTGGATGTACTATGTAGATTCAATCTATAACATCTGAAGAAAATACATTTTGGATATCGTTTAACTTGTAGTTCTTATTTCTGATGCTAAAACTATTTCGATTATGGGTTCCATGTATAACAGCATAATATATATTAGCATATATCAAAGTGTGAGAGTCAAGATCTTCTTGGAAAACTGAGAAAAAACTTGTTAATGTAGACGATGATAAACGTGCCACTCTGTGTACATCATTCTCTTGATTGAAGTACACTTGTGCATTTTCTAGATAAATGCCAATTGAACTACTGTAGGGTACCTTTCAAGTATCTCAAATGAAAACATGCGCTCAATTGCTTCGTTGCTGCTTAGATGGTGATCCATTTAATAGTGAGATACTTCGTCATTTGTATTCGCACAATCATATCCTTACCTTTGTTAAGAATATGTACTCCATAGTCTTGATGGAGTTAAAATATTTCAATTAATATAAGCTTCAAAAACTTTGGTGATTTTTGCACAATCCAACGATTGTCTACATTAAAATCTTGTGTCTTACCTTCACAACTACCAATCGCCACTTTCCGCAACTGATCGTTGACTATACAATGGATATTTGTCATTTTCCGTTATAGTTTTGGCAATCAGATCTCTTGAGTAACACTTGGAAGACTTACCATCGACCATACAGGGTGAGTTGTTGTTGAAAACTCCGTTAGGTCCATGTATCATGTGTTAAGTCACTACTTTATGTAATTTTGGGTCCACTATTTCATCGAAAATTTCAGCTGAACTTACGAATGCAATTGCATCTGGCCTTAATTTGTCAACTAACCAGACTAATAATATGTGTACATGTGGTAGACGCTTCTATCAGTCATTATAATGCACTCAAAAGCGAACTTGCCCATATACACGATGGTTTATAATAAAATCCATAAGAGATTTTAATTTTTGTAGCAATATCTTCTGGATTAAGATCCAATATGGGTTACTTCGTCTTCTTCATGTGCCGAGCTCGATTATCGAGCGTTGACTATCAAATTGGCTATAGTAATTTTGTTGACGGCATCTCGCAGACGATCTGTTAAACCAATCTCTCAGGTTTTTAAGCCATGACGATCTTCTTCGACCTGGCCCTCTTCTTCCATCTACTTTGCCTTGTATTATTAAATAAAGTATATTATATCTCTCTGGGTGGCGCATAACATGGCCAAAATATTCAAGTTTGCGATATTTAACTGTTTTGACGACTTCCGTGACTTTTCCCATCCATGCAAAACAACTTCGTTACGAACTCTATCCACCCAACTTATTCGTAGGATTCTCCGATACACCCAGATTTTAAAGTCTTCCAGTTTCTTGAGAAGTGTATTCGTCAAAGTCTAACCTTCGACACCATACAAAAGAGTAGAGAATACATAACATCGCACTAATTTAATTTTCAGACTTAAAGTAATATTGTTTCCACATAACAGTTTTTTCATCTTAAAGAATGCAGCTCTGGCTTTCTCTATTCGTATTCTAATTTTTTTGCTCATGTCTCAGTTCTAATTTATATTACAACCAAGGTAAGTGATACTGTTAGTTCTCTCTAGTTGTTCACCATAAGCTGTTACTACTTCCGGTTGTATTGGCGTTTTACTAACGACCATCACCTTTGTCTTCGCGGTGTTTAGCTTAAGGCCATATTCATCACACGTTGTTGTAATCCTATTAATTAGATGTTGAAGTTCTTCGTAATTGCTTGCAATTAACACTGTGTCATCCGCATATCTCAAATTATTAATATTGACTTCATTCATTTTTATACCACATTGAACATTATCCACTGCTTTATTGAAAACGAACTCAGAATAGATGTTAAATAGTAGCGGAGACAAAATGCAGCCCTGCTTTACAAATACCTACCTGTTGAAGAATGGCTATCATTATAGTATGTTTTAATCGATCAAAGGCCTTTTTAAAGCCAATAAAACACATATAAACTGGATGTCCGACATCTCTGCATCTTTGTACCATAACCTGAATACTAAATAGTGCTTCTCTTGTTCCAAGGTTATTGCGGAATCCAAACTGTGTGTCACCAAGTTATTGCTCTATTTTTTGGTACGTTCTAGAGTGCAAAGTTCGTAGAAATATCTTTAAAACATGACTCATTAAGCTGATGGTTCGGTAGTCACTATATCTTTTTGCGTTTGCTTTTTTAGGTATCGTCACAAAAGTCGACAGCCG